CGGTATAAACAAAACTGGTATAAACCGAACCGGTATAAACCAGTACAAACCGGTATAAACCAAACCGGTATAAACTGGTATAAACCGGTATAAACCAAACCGGTATAAACCGGTATAAACCAAACCGGTATAAACTGGTATAAACCGGTATAAACCAAACCGGTATAAACCGGTATAAACTAGTATAAACCGAACCGGTATAAACCGGTATAAACCAAACCAGTATAAACCAGTATAAACCGGTATAAACCGGTATAAACCAAACCAGTATAAACTGTATTAAAAAAAAACAGTATAAACCAGTATGAACCTCTATAAACCAGTATAAACCGGTATAAACCAGTATGAACCAGTTCCATTTTTAACCCTTAATCTCCCATTTTTAACCCCTAAAATGCCCATTTTTAACCCTTTAAACACCGGGGGTTTTGCCCCCAGTCCCTCCCAGTATAAACCAGTATATCCCAGTATAAACCAGTATATCCCAGTACATCCCAGTCCATACCAGTGCTCTCATCGGCAGCCAGGATGCCCTTGCCCGGTGCCACGATGCCCTCCCAGTCCATCCCAGTCCCATTTTTAACCCCTAAAATCCCCATTTTTAGCCCAAAAAACACCGGGTTTTTTGCCCCCAGTCCCTCCCAGTATAAACCAGTATATCCCAGTCCCTCCCAGTATAAACCAGTATATCCCAGTCCATACCAGTGGACTCATCGGCGGCCAGGATGCCCTCCCAGTCCCTCCCAGTCCATCCCAGTCCCGTTTTTAACCCTTAGAGCACCATTTTTAACCCTTAAAGTGCTATTTTTAACTCTAAAAACGCCATTTTTACCCCAAAAACCACCGGGTTTTTTGCGCCCAATCCCTCCCAGTATAAACCAGTATAACCCAGTTCATACCAGTGCTCTCATCAGCAGCCAGGATGCCCTTGCCCGGTGCCACGATGCCCTCCCAGTCCCTCCCAGTCCCTCCCAGTCCCGTTTTTAACCCCTAAAATCCCCATTTTTAACCCTTTAAACACCGGGTTTTTTGCCCCCAGTCCCTCCCAGTATAAACCAGTATAAACCAGTTTAACCCAGTCCCCTCCCAATCCATCCCACTCCCTCCCAGTATAAACCAGTCCCAACCAGTCCCATTTTTAACCCTTTATCTCCCATTTTTAACCCTGTCTCTCCCATTTTTAACCCCTAAAATGCCATTTTTAACCCTTTAAACATCGGGTTTTTTGCCCCCGGTCCCTCCCAGTATAAACCAGTATATCCCAGTATATCCCAGTTCATACCAGTGGACTCATCGGCAGCCAGGATGCCCTCCCAGTCCCATTTTTAACCCTTACACTCCCATTTTTAACCCCTAAAATCCCCATTTTTAACCCTTTAAACACCGGGTTTTTTGCCCCCAGCCCCTCCCAGTATAAACCAGTACATCCCAGTATAAACCAGTCCATACCAGTGCTCTCATCAGCAGCCAGGATGCCCTTGCCCGGTGCCACGATGCCCTGCCAGTCCATCCCAGTCCCTCCCAGTCCCGTTTTTAACCCCTAAAATCCCCATTTTTACTCCTATAAACACCGGGTTTTTTGCCCCCAGTCCCTCCCAGTATAAACCAGTCCATACCAGTGCTCTCATCGGCGGCCAGGATGCCCTCCCAGTCCATCCCAGTCCCATTTTAACCCTTAAAGCGCCATTTTTAACTCTAAAATCCCCATTTTTAACCCTTTAAACACTGGGTTTTTTGCCCCCAGTCCCTCCCAGTATATCCCAGTATAAACCAGTATAACCCAGTCTGTCCCAATCCATCCCAGTCCATCCCAGTCCATTTTTAACCCTTTATCTCCCATTTTTAACCCTTTGTGTCCCCTTTTTAACCCTTTATCTCGCATTTTAACCCCTAAAATCCCCATTTTTAACCCTATAAACACCGGGTTTTTTGCCCCCAGTCCCTCCCAGTATAAACCAGTACATCCCAGTATAAACCAGTCCATACCAGTGCTCTCATCGGCGGCCAGGATGCCCTTGCCTGGTGCCACGATGCCCTCCCAGTCCCTCCCAGTCCCATTTTTAACCCCTGAACTCCCATTTTTAACCCCTAAAATGCCCATTTTTAACCCTTTAAACACCGGGTTTTTTTCCCCCAGTCCCTCCCAGTATAAACCAGTATATCCCAGTCCCCTCCCAGTCCCCTCCCAGTCCCCTCCCAGTCCCCTCCCAGTCCATCGCAGTCCCTCCCAGTTCCATTTTTAACCCTTTAATTCCCATTTTTAACCCTTTATCTCCCCTTTTTAACCCTTAATCTCCCATTTTTAACTCTAGAAACGCCATTTTTACCCCAAAATCTGCTGGGTTTTTTGCCCCCAGCCCCTCCCAGTCCCTCCCAGTATAAACCAGTACATCCCAGTCCGTACCAGTGCTCTCATCAGCAGCCAGGATGCCCTTGCCCGGTGCCACGATGCCCTCCCAGTCCCTCCCAGTCCCTCCCAGTCCCATTTTTAACCCCTAAAATGCCCATTTTTACCCCAAAAAACACCGGGTTTTTTGCCCCCGGTCCCTCCCAGTCCCTCCCAGTATAAACCAGTATATCCCAGTCCCTCCCAGTCCCATTTTTAACCCTTTAATTCCCATTTTTAACCCTTTAATTCCCATTTTTAACCCTTTAATTCCCATTTTAACCCTTAGAGCGCCATTTTTAACCCCTAAAATGCCCATTTTTAACCCTTTAAACACCGGGTTTTTTGCCCCCAGTCCCTCCCAGTATAAACCAGTATAAACCAGTCCGTACCAGTGGACTCATTGGCAGCCAGGATGCCATCCCAGTCCCTCCCAGTCCCATTCTAGACCCCTAAAATGCCCATTTTTACCCCAAAAATCACCGGGTTTTTTGCCCCCGGTCCCTCCCAGTCCCTCCCAGTATAAACCAGTACATCCCAGTCCGTACCAGTTCCATTTTTAACCCTTAGAGCACCATTTTTAACCCTTTATCTCCCATTTTTAACTCTAGAAACGCCATTTTTAACCCTTTAAACACCGGGTTTTTTGCCCCCAGTCCCTCCCAGTATAAACCAGTACATCCCAGTTCATACCAGTGCTCTCATCGGCAGCCAGGATGCCCTTGCCCGGTGCCACGATGCCCTCCCAGTCCCTCCCAGTCCCATTTTTAACCCTTTATCTCCCCTTTTTAACCCTTCAACTCCCATTTTTAACTCTAAAACCGCCATTTTTACCCCAAAAATCACTGGTTTTTTTCCCCCGGTCCCTCCCAGTATAAACCAGTTCATACCAGTGCTCTCATCGGTGGCCAGGATGCCCTCCCAGTCCCTCCCAGTCCCATTCTAGACCCCTAAAATGCCCATTTTTACCCCAAAAATCACCGGGTTTTTTGCCCCCGGTCCCTCCCAGCCCCTCCCAGTATAAACCAGTACATCCCAGTCCCTCCCAGTCCCATTTTTAACCCTTAAACTCCCATTTTTAACCCTTTAATTCCCATTTTAACCCTTAGAGCGCCATTTTTAACTCTAAAATCCCCATTTTTAACCCTATAAACACCGGGTTTTTTGCCCCCAGTCCCTCCCAGTATAAACCAGTATAACCCAGTTCATACCAGTGCTCTCATCGGCAGCCAGGATGCCCTTGCCCGGTGCCACGATGCCCTCCCAGTCCCTCCCAGCCCCATTTTTAACCCCTAAAATCCCCATTTTTACCCCAAAATCTGCCGGGTTTTTTGCTCCCAGGCCCTCCCAGTCCCTCCCAGTATAAACCAGTTCATCCCAGTTCATACCAGTGCTCTCATCGGCGGCCAGGATGCCCTCCCAGTCCATCCCAGTCCCATTTTTAACCCTTTATCTCCCATTTTTAACCCTTCAACTCCCATTTTTAACCCCTAAAATGCCCATTTTTAACCCCAAAAAACACCGGGTTTTTTGCCCCCAGTCCCTCCCAGTATAAACCAGTATAAACCAGTCCGTACCAGTGCTCTCATCAGCAGCCAGGATGCCCTTGCCCGGTGCCACAATGCGCTCCCAGTCCATCCCAGTCCCTCCCAGTCCCATTTTTAACCCCTAAAATCCCCATTTTTACTCCAAAATCTGCCGGGTTTTTTGCCCCCAGCCCCTCCCAGTACATCCCAGTATAAACCAGTATAAACCAGTCCATACCAGTGCTCTCATCGGCGGCCAGGATGCCCTCCCAGTCCCTCCCAGTCCCATTTTTAACCCTTACACTCCCATTTTTAACTCTAAAATCCCCATTTTTAACCCAAAAACCACCGGGTTTTTTGCCCCCGGTCCCTCCCAGTATAAACCAGTATAACCCAGTTCATACCAGTGGACTCATCGGCGGCCAGGATGCCCTCCCAGTCCGTCCCAGTCCCTCCCAGTCCTGTTTTTAACCCCTAAAATCCCCATTTTTACCCCAAAAAACACCGGGTTTTTTGCCCCCAGCCCCTCCCAGTATAAACCAGTATATCCCAGTCCCCTCCCAGTCCATCCCAGTCCCTCCCAGTATAAACCAGTATATCCCAGTCCATTCCAGTCCATCCCAGTCCCTCCCAGTATAAACCAGTCCCTCCCAGTCCCATTTTTAACCCTTTAATTCCCATTTTAACCCTTAATCTCCCATTTTTAACCCCTAAAATGCCCATTTTTACCCCTTTAAACACCGGGTTTTTTGCCCCCAGTCCCTCCCAGTATAAACCAGTACATCCCAGTTCATACCAGTGCTCTCATCGGCGGCCAGGATGCCCTTGCCCGGTGCCACGATGCGCTGGGCGATGGACGCCAGCTCCTGCTTCTGCTCCGGGGTCAGCGCGGGCACGGGGGGAGACATGGCGGCGGCTCTGGGGGCGGGGCAA